CCACGCCCGGCTAGTTTTTTGTATGTTTTAGTAGAGACGGGGTTTCACCGTGTTAGCCAGGATGGTCTCGATCTCCTGACCTCGTGATCCACCCGTCTCAGCCTCCCAAAGTGCTGGGATTACAGGCTTGAGCCACCGTGCCCGGCCTGGCCCTTGGGTTTTCTAAGGAATTTGCTAAGGGTGCCACTGCCCTTAGCAGTGAGGATTCTTAGCAGAATTGGGGAGAAGTGTCTGTCTGACCTGAGGATCATCCTTGGGCAGTAGACTTTCTTCTCCTGGTACAGCTCTCTCAGGTTGACGATCTCAAGCACCGTCACCAGGTTCACAAATGCCCGAGGAACCTGAGAAAAGGCAAAAATCAGTCACCAAGAGGATGAGGCTGGGCAGATCCAGGCTCTCACCTGGGTTTGGGACCTGCTCTTCCTGCTGAAGTTTCAGGTCTAGGGACTTCCATCTGCCCCCATCCACTTCCTCCAACTGTCCCTGCTCCCCATCTATGCATCTGGGCTGGGATCCACAACAAAGGTGACCTGCCTGGGAGGTCTCAGCAGGACGCCAGAGCTTCCTCTAGGCTAGGTCTCACCGCCTAGCCTCCATACCTCGGCGTGGAGGATGTCCAGGGCCTTCCCAATGTTGTCTGTGAAGTTCTGGGGAGAATAGTGGACCTGCAGGAAGAGAAGTGTCCATTGAACACCATTTGTCACCAAATCTCTCTACAGAACCGGGCTACTTTCTCTCTTGGGTCCTTCTTTTTTTTTTTTTTCTTTCTGTTTTTGAGGTATGGTCTCACTCTGCCTTCTGGGCTGGAGTACAGTGGCATGATCACAGCTCACTGCAACCTTCACCTCCTGGGCTCAAGCAATCCTCCCACCTCAGCCTCCCAAGTAGCTGGGACCACGGATACATGACACCACACTTGGCTAATTTTTGTTTTTTTGTTTTTTTGTTTTTTGGTAGAGATGGGGTTTCACCATGTTGCCCAGGCTGGTCCTGGGCTCAAGTGATCCATCCATCTCGGTCTCCCAAAGTGCTGGGATTACAGGTGTGAGCCACTGCACCTGGCCAGAGTCCTCTTCTTTCTGTATTCAGTCACAGTGGGCAATATTGAAATGCAGTGTTTGTCTTTGGGGCCCCAGCCTCGACACCAGCCCCATGATTTGGGGCCCCGGCCTCGACACCAGCCTCAGGTTTGCCATGGCTGTGGCCCTCAGGGAAATGTCGTTTTTCTTTTTGTTTTGTTTTGTTTGTTTTTTTGCGTGGAGCTCTGGACCTACTCCATATCCACTAGCTGTAGAGCCGGAGCATCACATCTCTGGGCCCCTCTAACACAGGGATGTCAGAGCAGATGACCTCTAAGATCTCCTGCAACCTGAGCGGCCTCTGTCCTATGGCCCGATCTCTTTTGCTTGGATCCTCAGTGTCTGGGGCTACTGAGCGCACCCTACATGTATGAAAGCACACCCTACACAAATCAAAGCAATAACGGGAGGGGAAGAGGGGAAGAGGGTCCTGTGAAACACCCGCCACACCAAGTCTCAACACATTTTAACTGTTTCTCCTGATCTCGATATTTGCAGTTTTAAAGCTTTCTCACAGTGGAACTCTTTCTCTGATTGAAATCTAAACAAAAGCCCTGCTGTATGGAACATACCAAAGCTGTGTCACTTCACGTGAGCAGGGGAGGGGCCCAGGGTCCCACCTCCCCATGGGCCACCAGCAGCCCCAAGGCTCCCCTCTGGGCCTTTAAGATCACAGCTTGAAAACTCCTCTGACTCCTGGTGACTTTGATGCCAGGAAAGTGGGTTGTGAGGGGCCTGGGGGCCGGGGCGTCCCTCCAGGTAGGTGCTTATGGGCCACAGCAAGACCACTACTTCCTAAACCTGACTCTGCTGGTCCCCTATCTGCCTGACAAACCTCCTCATCTTCAAGCTCCAGCTGGAAAGTCTCCTGCTCTGTGTAAATCTCTCCAACAACCCCC